GCATGGGGGAGCGAACATTACATTGTCTGTGGGACTGAAGTTTCACACTGAGCTAGACTGGGATTCATGTGCCTGCGGGTAACAGGGAAGCTCTGTATCCTCCCGAGATGTCCTCACATCGCTGAGAAGGGAGGCAAGATGGAAGGAGGATGGGTAGAAAGAGCAAGACTCCATGTTGGTGCTGTTCTGGGTTGGACCTTTTCGTAAAAAACTCATCTAACCCCAAGACAACCTAGCAGCCTGGCAAAAACCATGTGGTTGACTACAGAGCATGAAAATTTAATGCTTTCATTTGAAAAACTATCCATAGAAGCAATCTCCCAGACTCAGGAATAGCATCCTCGTAGGCCTCTCTACTTGGAATTTAGGTGACACTAACAGCAAATAACAGCGGTGCCATCTGTGGATGTGGACACAAATCTGAAGGCCCAACAGGGTAGTGTGTGAGGAGGAATATGATTACTCTCCATCTTCTGCCTGGCAGGGCACTGTGGCATCCTCAGCACAGCCATGGGAACATCCTGCCTTGAATCCTGGAGGAGGGCAGGGGATGAGAGGATAGGAAGGCAGAGAATGGGCATCATTCAATGAGATCAGAATGGGGTAACATTCAGCCAGGAAACCAAGAATAATTACTGTGTTCCTGGATTTTTGCATGGGAGTGTTGCTGGGCCTTGCAGAGAGCTGCATCTAATCGTAGAGACCTGGGCTCCATTCCCTGCTCTTCTACTTATCAGAGAAGTAAGATTTGATCCTTTTCTGTATCCATCTAAAGTGAGCTCGATCAGTTGAATGAGCTAATAAAATTCAATTGTGTCCTTAAGCCATTTTGAGTTGTTTCTATCTCATGCAAACAAAAAAGGTAGGGGTCATGTTGACCCCTACCTTTGCAAACGTAAGAGAGTTGTACCCCAACATGCTCAGCACAGAAGATTGGAGAGTTTTGAGCAACAGAGCCCCAATGGTATTTGAGCATCTCAGCCACAGGTGTAGAGGAGACTGCGTGGGTTTGCTTGAGCAGTAGCTGCCCCTCTAGCAATGAACTCCATCCTGATATCTATTAACTTGTGGGAAGTCCCAGGAGGGAAACCATCTCTCCATTGTGTGAGCAAAATCCCTGGGTAGGCTTTGAAGGCAGTGTTGGAGTCTGACCTGGGTTTAGGCCCTATCTCTGACCCTCCCTAGTGTGGCCTCAGGAGAAGAAAGCTCAGTTTCCCCATCTGAAAAAGTGGCAGACGAGGCGGTGCTGAGCCACACACACCAACTTCCTAGCGCAAGTGAGGAGGAAACCCTTAATGTTGGCCTTTGCAATTTCAAACAAACCTAGTGAAGAAGAAGGAAATGATTAAAGGGAAGGGAAACCACTGGCACAAAGCATTAAGGGACGTCCTGCCAGGAGTTTGCTGCATCCCTGTGTGCCTTGCACTGTTCCACAGAACGGCCACCTCAAACGTGGCTCTAATCATGTCAGCCCCCGCTGGAGGCCCTCTGATGGCTGCTGCTGCTGACAAGATAAAAGCCAAACACCTTAGACTAGCACCTGCAGGCCTTAAAGAGCCCTCACTCCTCCAACTGCCTCCACAGTCCATTCTGGCTGCCTCGGATGCCACGGTGGATCACAGACAGGCCTGAACTCCATAAGTGCCACATTCCTAAACCAGCCCTGAGCTTATTGGAAGTGGATCTAACATAATCATGACTATACAATCAACCCCGGATGTAGTATATGGAGGGTCCAGTAACTCTCACTACTTGCTTTTCATATAAATATCTAATATGTAGAACTATAAACCATAAATGAAATATGATATATCTCCCATTGGCCACAAGCCTTACCATTCCCTATTGTACCATATGCTCTGTGTCATCTTCTACTCTGTGTCTCTATATATACAGATGTGAGTGGGTAAGGAAGTTGTTTTCAGTCTCTTCTTGAATGAGGAAAGGCCAATATTTCTATAAAGTCCCTTATTAATATTGAGGACATATATAGCTTTATTTATATCTTATTTTAAATATATGTTCAATTTGACAAATAATACATGGATATATCCTCAATGAAAAATTCAAATAATTCAGAGAAAGAGAAAGTTTATCAAGACTGGCCTTGCCCAGCCAGTGTGGCTCAGTTGGCTGAGTGTTGTCCCGTGCACCCAAAGTATTGCAGATTTGATTCCCGGTCAGTGCACCTACCAGGGTTGCAGTTTGATCCCCAGTTGGAGAGCATACTGAAGACAACCAATTGATGTGTGTACTGATCTATATGCTCTCCTTAACAGTATGTGTTGTAGAATTTTTTCATGTCAAAATGTTAGGATCTACTCCATTCATTGAAACTGCTGCATAATATTTATAATATGATGTATCATAATCTGTTTGACTTAGAGCAGTGGTTCTCAACCTTGGCTGCACATTAGAATCACCTGGGAATCTCTTTAAAATCCTGATTTCTGGGCCTCAGCCAAGGTTGAGAACCACTGACTTAGAAGATCATAAACTGGAAATCCAACAGCCACATCTGGACTAACATATGTGTTTTGTTTGCCTAGAACCACATGTTGCCCATTATAAACTGAATGCAAATGGTTTTAGGTGGAGTAAGCCACCGAACTTGCACACAGGCCCCAACCTTCCCTACTATCTTACAGGCAGCCTGCTTTATACACTTTTATTACTTTTCTGGTCCCTGTAGATATTTGAGAGTTCAAACCCGGTATTCTAGCTATTATTTGATTCTGTACATATTTAAACATTTTTTAGAAAGGTATTGCTGCAATGAATAGCCACATCCATCACTCTCTGTTTTCATTTACCTAAGGTATATGCAACACCTGGGCTTGCTTAATAGGGGGGAATGAGAGAGGTCACACAACTGAAAATGCAGTTTGGAGACATGCATAAGATTATGAAGGGGAGGAAATCAGAGAGGTCTGTGGAGAACTGTCGCACAGGTGCTCTGGAAGCAGGGAGAGCCTCCTGCTTATGACCTATAGCTTCTGAATATCACACTGTCCATCCCATGTTCCTGTTAGTTGTCAGCAGGGAAAGCTCACAAACAAACGATTGCTTGGGAATCAGCTGCTTGCTCTCCCAACCCCAGCTCTGAATGGGCTGCAGAGGAGAGTGGGGAGGGCAGGCTCAGGACCCTGACATTCATCACACTCTGGAGTGTTTCTCCAGCCTGGCTCCTGGATTCATGGCTTGGCAAGCCTCGGGCCATAGCTAATGGACTTTCTTGGCCTAAGTCAGTCTGAAGGCTGCCCTACTGTTTAGGAAGCTAATGGTGCATGAAAGCTGCCCTGTGGGCAACAGGCTCCATCTGAGCTGCCTCTGGGGCTAATGGCTTAGGTGAAGGCTGGTCTGAGACCTTGAAGTGAGCCGAGAGAGGTGGTGCTGAGAGGGGGGCCAGTGTGAAGTACAGGTCGGCTAACCTGGGAAACCATACCTTCCTAGGGCCTCTGCTGCATACACCGCTGTGAGCATGTGCTGGTCCCTGTCTCCGTCAGCTTGGGCTGCCATGACAGAGCACCAGAGACTGGGCCAATTAGACAATAGAAATTTATTTCTCACAGTTCTGGAGACCGGAAGTCCAAATCAAGGAGCCAGCAGTGTGGGTGTTGGTGAGAGCCCTCTCCTTGTTTGTGGGTGGCCTCCTCCCTTCTGTGTCCTCATATGACCTTTCCTCAGTGCACTCAGGGGAAGAGAGGGAGGAACTGGAGGCAAAGGCAGCACTCTTTGGTGTCTCTTCTGATAGAACAGTAATCCCACCATGAGGGCCCTGCCCTATGAGCTTCTCTAAACCTAATTACCTCCCAAGAGCCCCATCTCTAAATACCACATATGGGATCAGAGTTTCATAAATTATGAGGGAGGGACAATTCGATGTATAGTGGTCTGGTAGGAATATATGACTGAAGTTGGCCAGGTCAACCCCAGGTATAAGAAAGTTGCAAGGCAAGAAGTTATCTGCCCCAGCCAGGAGATCCCTTCTAAGGCACATGTGAGCAATGGTGGATGGTGTCCACAGCAAATCCTTTGATACAGAATGGGCTATGAATACAAGTCTGGGTCTACATGTCTTTATCTTGGGCTTAAGACTAATTTCCTCTAGTGAATAACTTTCTGGGCTTTGTGAAATGATTTAAATGATCTAAGCCAATGTTGCCACCAGTGAAATGGGAGTAATAAAAGTTGTTCCAGGGATTAAATGAGACAATAAATGTTAAAATTTGGCACATTGTCAGGCACCAGTCTTGGCTGCACAAAATTGTGCACATTGTGAAAAAAAAAGAAAAAAGAAGGCTATTGTTGCTGTACTTAGTAATTCTACCTTCTCATAACACTGACTCAAAACTTTAAGGGAAGTTCTGGCCAGTGTTCTCAGTGGTTAGAGCATGAGCCCTCACACCAAAAAATCACAGGTTTGATTCCCCATCAAGGGCACATACCTGGTTTGCAGGTTCAATCCCTGACCCCGGGTGGGACACCTGCAGGAAGCAACCAATTGATGTGTCTCTCTCACATCAATGTTTCTCTCTCTCCAGCCCTCCCTCCATTCCACTCTCTCTAAAAATCAATGGAAAAAATATCCTCTGGTGAGGATCAACAAAAACAAAAAAATGTTAAGGAAAAAGAAACCCTCAAAAATGCCTTCAATGCTTTTGCTTTCTCAGTGTTCACTTAATCATGATCAGTGCATGGGCACTGCACACGGCCTTCCCCTTTTTTTCCTGGCAAGATTGTTATAATGTGTTAAAAATATTAATTATCCTCTTCACCTTAAACACAGGACCGGAAAAACAAATCTTGTTGCTCTGCCTGGTAGAAGCAAAAGTGCCCTGTGTGTGTGTGTGTGTGTGTGTGTGTGTGTGTGTGTGTGGCACCCATTGTCCCCCTCAGGTCAAAACAAATTATTGATGCCAGTTCCTTTAAAAAGACAATTAATCCAATTACCTTCTTGTTGAATCAATCCTAATGTCTTTGTTTTCTTTAACTTGCAGGTTTCGGCAAGCCTGGCTGCCAGCAACGCCGAGGTAGGAAATGTGGTCTTCCTGTCACTTTGGAGGGCATTTTGAATGATTCTGTTTTGAGGTGCAGGGAAATCGGTGTCTGGCTGTAACTCCTCTGTATGACCTCTGATGGTTGGATGCTGTGCTCTTACCTGGTTGTCCCTGTGCTTCTGAGTTTGGGGCTAACCTGGCCCCTGTGCTGGACTTCATGGTGGAGTGTGTGCTGAGTAGCCTGGTAAAGACGGCTAATGGTCTCACAGCTGGGTCTCCTGCTCGTTGCTGTCATGGTGGCCTCAGGGTCTGTCTGTATATACCCGATACGATTCTTGCTCCATTGAGACAAGCCTTTGCTTTGGCAGTGACTCCTCCCTCTGTCTGTGGTGCTTTCCATCCCCGCCTCATCCTGTTCCTCTCCCTGAGCATCCTCAGGGCATGAAGAAAACTATGGCTGATACTGAAAACATAGGCAAATAATTTTTAAAAGTTGCTGGTCAGAAGTCAGCCGCAAGGTTACCATCCATTGGGAATTGTACAGGAAGAATAGGTAGAAAGTTCACTTCCGATAAAGGGCACTAATTCTATTCATCAGGCCTCCACTCTCATGATCTAATTACTTCCCAAAGGCCCCGTCTCCTAATACCATCACACTGGGGGTTAGGATTTCAACATTCAGTGCATAACAAAACATGAACCAGGTCTCACTCAAATCATGGCCTGGTGCATAGTGGGTGTGCAATAAATGTTAGCTCCACACCTCCTTAAGGCCTGATTGCTGGAAACTAGATTAGACCTGAATAGGTCTCAGGCACTGTGGTCAGCACCACGGACAGCTATCACTTCCTGCAAACTTCCATCTTCCCCTAGGAAGTCTCACATTTGTGCCACATTTGGCTTTTTAAAGCACCAGTCAACAATTAAACACCTTTACATATGTCGCCTCTTTTCAATGTCAGGATATTTGTTATATCCATTTTTCAGATTTAAAAATGGACTTTTGGAGAATTGAAATACTTTAAACATTGGGGAAATAGTGCTTAATGATCTAACAATTCTACTCCTACTTATGTGCCCAAGAGAAATGACTGCTTATATCTACCAATAAATATATGTAATAATTTTCATAGAAGCTTTATTTATCACAGCTCCAAACTAGAAACAAACCAAATGTCCATTAAGGGAATAATAGGTAAATAAATTGTGGTATATTCATGCAATTCAAGACAACAATAAAAAAAGAATTATCTATAGATATATGAAACAGCCTGTATGAATCTCAGAGGTGTTGGTGAAAAAATATCAGTAGGAAAGAACACACCCTGTATAGTTTTATTTACACACATATGCAAACACACTCCTCTCTGGTGATAAAAGTAACAATAGAGGTTATGTCTGTGTCAGGCACAAGAGAACTTGTTAGGTGATGAGGAATATGCAATACCTTCATCTGGATGTGGTTACATAGGTAACCATCACATGTTAAATGTATAGTGCTACTTGTAAGATAGATGTACTGTATATTAGGTAATTTGTATTTAAGAAAAAAATAAAGCTGCTTGCAAAAAAAAAAAGAACCACAAACAATAAAAAGTATAAAACAGGATAATGAAAAAGAAAGATGAACAGGTGGTATGGAGGAAATGAGGAAGTGTAGCAATGCTCAGTATATAGACAAAACTGCAGATCAAAAATAACCTTCATTCTTTCATTCATTTATTCATTCATTTTTACTCCAGACTCCCATTTCCCAGATAGAGCAAAAAAAATCACTCCAACTTTTTCTTTCTCCTAGCCATCCTATATAATAAAAGCATAGTATGCAAATTGTCACCTTGACTGGGAGTTGTCCAGGAGTTCAACCAGGGGGCAGGGCCAGCCAGGGAAAGGGAGGGAGGCCCCAGCCAGCAGCTGGAAGCTGCTAGGGGCCCTACCAGTGCACAAATTTTATGCACTGGGCCTCTAGTTGTTTATAAGGCTGAATTGTAATTGCTGCAGCCAGACCATATTTTTTGGCACTACTGCAGGGAGGTAACATTTTATTAATTGAATTTCTAATGGCAATTCATCAAAGCAAGCAATCACCATTATTTAGTGCATGATCCATATTCATGGCAGGCTTTGTTAGGTAAATAATAGTGGCTCTGGAGAAGTGCTTTTGTGGGGTCCTTTTCCTTCCCAGATATCTTTCTTTCCCCCCTAAGTATAGGCCAACAGTTGTAATTTAAGCAGAACAAACCCCACCTGTGGAGGAAACACTGGGTAAAGGGAAGCAAGATGAATTGCAAACACACAGAATCAGTGAGAAAGAATGGCTTTGCCAGTTCCCTTTCTCTCTGCAGATTGACAGTGAATATGTGAATAACGTTTGCTAAATCTGGACTTTGAAAACATGACAGCAAGCTGTTTGTGCCAGTAATTTTTCATGGCATATGCACCACACACAGTTTTAATAAGATGGCACATGGACTATTGAGAAATGTTCAAATCCTGCAGAGGAAAGAGCTTTATCTTCTGACCAAATTCTGCCCAGTGATGTTTATGACAGCTGAAGAATTTATCTAAAATTCCCTCTGCTAACAGCAAAGCACATGGCCCTTTGTCCCCAAGCAGCCTGTAAGAACCAAACTAAGATGTCACATACATAATATAACAGATAAATGGCCCAATTTCCATGTCCACATGATGAATGGAATGCAAGTTCAGCACACACGTATTTGCACATTAATTGGCCCTGCATGGTTCCATTTTGTTCCTAAGTTGCTACTGTATGTCTCATGGACTCTTTCCCCTTCAGAATCATTAAGCCTGTTTTATCGCACAAATGCATACACATTTCCCCCCCTATTTATCGTCACGCAGCTTGCCCTGCTGAGAGAGAACCAAGTAACCTGGGCACAGCCATTGCATTGCAAATGCCTACATCTCAGTTCTCTCTGCCACCAACTGCACATTAACACAAAGATCTGAGACCCAGCCCCACGGTGGCTTTGCTGACAGCCAAACAAAGAAGGTTGCAAGCAAAGATGTTTTTAAAAAAATCACTTCTTTTCAGTTACCAGTTGGTTTCTTGCCTCACCTTAATGATTTCCTGTTGATAGTTTAATGGTGATATAAACCCAGTGGAGAGCTTCAATTTTGATAAATTGGCCTGCTCCTATTTCATGGCAAAGCAGTCACACTGAGATTGATTGATATTACAGTTTTGCTATCCCAAATAATTGCAATGGCAAGCTACCCAGGTAGCAAAACCCAGTGGGCTTCAGGAAGCATAGGTAGACTCTCCCTCCCACCAATCCCTTTTTCCTGCCAAGGAATCATTTATTTTTCCTGTCTCAGTCCTGGTTCTCAGGAAAGCAGATTGGGGGCTGCAGAAAACAGTGCTTTTGAGAAGGGACTGGTTGTTTGTTTTTGTTTTGTTTTGTTTTGTCCTGGCCATTCCAAGTCACTTGAGAGGCCAGAACATTTACAAGGCAAAATTGAGCTCTTGCACCAAGAGGGTTCCAGTGGAAAGAGGGTGAGCTTTGGAGTCTTGTAGATAAGATATGACTCATGGGTCCACCACGTGCAAGTTATGTGCCTATGGTCCAGTCACTTAACTGATCAAGAGCCTCTTATCAGTTAAATAGGAATAATGAAACCCATCCCAAAATAATGGTTTGAATTGTACATTTGATAATCTGCACAAAGCAGATGTTCAGGAATTATTTTGCTTCCTCAGACAACCCTCATCTTTTATCTCTTGTGTAAAGTAACACAATTAATAAATAACCTAATTAGCAATTAATTTTGAGACCCATGGCTTTGAAAACTTGCTCCGATGATTGTACGTCGTGGCTGACCCAGACCTTGACCAGGCAGAAGTTTACTTACATGACTTAATTCACATGGAGTGAATGGCCCTCTTTGATCCTCCCAAGGGCAGGTCTACTTGAAGATCAGCAATACTTCCCAAGGAGCTCTCTTGGCCTGGTCTAGCTTTACCCAATCACACTTTGATAGTCTTTTCTGTCTTTGAAGCCAGCTCAAAAGAATATTTAAAGAAGCTCAAATAATCATCAGATCTTAATTCAAGGACCAAGAATTCTTAGTTAGAAATACGATTGGTGTTTAGTAAGTTTGATGGACATGTGAGAGACAGCTATTGTATTCTGGGCAAAGCCCTGAGCACTGGGATACACATACAAGTTTGACACCCATTCATACTCTCAAAGAGTATATGGCTCAATACTGGGGGGGGAGGGCGGGTAAATCATAAATGCTATAGTATCATTTGTTTCATGAGAGCCAGGGTTCTTATAAGAGTGAAGCCCTCTCCACAAGTCCTGCTGCATTTTCAATAAGTTTTTGTATCTGGGTTCAAATATGAGAGCCTAAGATTGGAGAAGGGTATCCATGGAGGCTTCCCAGAGGAGGCAATATGCAGTCTGGAGCCCTGAGGAGTAAGTTAGGTTTGCATCAAGTAAAGAAAAGTAGAGAAAATGAGCAAAGGCAATGTTGGCAGAGAGCTTGCACGTTCAGGGAATAAGCATTAATGGGGCTGTGGAAGCAGCGAGGAAAATGGAAGAGATGGGAGTGAACAGGGAGAAACCAAGGCCAAGAACCTCACGGAAAGCAAAGCGTAAGAGGGTTACGAGAAAGAGATGTGGCTATGAAATGATTCAGTGGGTCCAAGGGAGTGAGCACTGCATTGACGACACTGGGTTTGTCAAATCTGCAATCATTAACAGCCTCAACAACTGCCTTCCCAATGTAGGTGATTGAAGCAGGGGTGTTAGATGTGGTGGCTTAAGGAGTAAATGGAAAGAGAAGACATATAAGCATAGCGTAGACCAGCCTTTCAAGTATTTGAGCCACAGGAACTTTGGCCCTTGGCTGGAAGAAATTTTGAAGATGGAGATGGGAGGCAATTTTGTGTATGTCACAGGCCTGGAATGAAGATATGTGGATGAGCATCAGAAAACAGATAGACCTTGCCCACTGAAAGTTGGGCAGAGTATGCTTTGCTCACCACTGTGCCACCAGGGCCA